CAGATAATATTTTTAGCTTTGCACACCTTTGTTGCAACTATTCAACTCTGCTGTTGGAGGGCAAAAGCATTCAGTACTTAAATTAATGGGTATGACTGTGTCCCAATAAAACTTTATTTGCAAAAACAGGCAGTGGGTCAGATGTGGCCCACAAGCATAGCTTGCTGACTCTTAACTTCCAGAACAACAACTATGAGGCAATAACACTGTTTTAATTACAGCTTCTATTCTTTATTTAGCTTAAAAAAAAGATAAGAAATTCTAGTCTCCATTTACTATCTATGATAGTTAAATTATGTGTCAACTTGGCCAGGCCACACTACCCAGGTATTTGGTTAAACATTCTAGGTGTTTCTGTGGAGATATTTTTCAGATGAGATTAACATTTAAATCAGTAGAGTTGAGTAAAACAGATTGCTCTCCACAATGATGGCGAGCCTCATCCAATCACTTAAAGGGCTTAATAGAGAAAAGATGGACCTCCCCTGCTAAAGAGGGAATTCTGTCAGCAGATGGTTTCTGGATTCAAACTCTGACTCTCTCCTGGGTCCCCACTCTGCTGGCCTACTCTGCGGACTTTTGAGTTGCCAGCCTCCACATCTTGTCAGCCAATTCTTTAAAAATTAAAACCTCTCGAGAATCCTAACTAATACACCATCTTTTCTGAGATCCTACATTTATACTTGGCATTTTTGGGTAATAGAGACCTTTACGACTAAAAGTATTTTTAGTAAAAGATAAACAAGCCAATACTGACATATTCTCACAAATTAAAACAAACTAACTTTTGAAAATGTTCTAGCAAAAGCAAGAGAGCAGAGAATTAGTTACGACAGAGCAGCTTTCAGCTCCTGAGACCACTTTTCCCAGAAATACTCAGTTCTAGATTACATTAATCATAGGTGCTGTGGCCCCACCTTGGGGTGAGAGAGATTAGTTTTGTCCCAGATGTTTGAAACCACAATATCTAACATTTAAAGGAACTGTAAGTATGTGGTATCCGTATAATGTGTTTTTAATTAGTTGGGGTAAGGTCTTTAGCTGGGATCTTAAAATGATTGGCCTAAACTTAATTTTCTTTCGGTAGCTGCCACATTGAAATATAAAAGACACAGCTGGTAACTGAGAAAAGCTGGCTTATAAAAGAAGGCAATTACTTTAATTTTTGTGGGTTTTTTCCACCAAGCTCTCAGCAATGGAATTGGCTGGCATGAGAAAGTCAGTCTTGCAGAGACCTGAGGCCATATAAACCATCGTTGGTGATGAGATTTCCTAAGAACCTTCCTCAACCCAACTTCCTCAGAGGTCCAAGCTATGGATTAATGAACTCTGCCACCCTTCCACCGAAGAGAGCAGTCAACAGGAGGGATTCATTTATTTCTAACAAATACAACAATTGCTCTCCATGAGATAACACAACATGCAGTAGCTTGGCTGGGCTCAGCGACCTGCCTTCTGGGGCAACAGTAAAGAAACCCATTTCACATCACTCACTCCCCTGTCTGTCCCCAGCTTTGGGCCAACTAATCTCACGCTCTTCAAATGGTTCTTAGCCTTCCCTGTGTCAGTGCTTAATCCTTTGCGGTCTTCTTCCTCCTACTTGTCTAGGTGCTTGGCAGCCTTCCCAGATAACCTAGCTTGAGTCTCCCTCCTCTTAGATACCACCTCTGACCACGCTGGTCCTCTGTGCTACAAGCCCCTCCCCCCCACACCCCCGAACACTTGCTGCATTGCAGGCTTCTAGCGCACATATTTCAGTTATTATTAATAACAACAGCAACCATAACAGTAACCGCCACTAACCAAGCTTCTGATCTAAGTACTTTAGATGCGGTAATAGTCTTAAACAACCATATGAGTCAAGTACTAAGACTTCTTGCAAAAACTAAATTTAGAAAGTATCTTTGAAGTGTGCTTTGGACTGAATGCCTGCATCCTCCTGAAATCCATAGTTGGAAATCCTAACCCTCAAAGTGATGGTACTGGGTGGGGCTTTGGGCGGTGATTTGGCCATGAGGGTGGAGCCCTGAAGAATGGGATTAATGACCTTGTAAAAGAGACCCTTGTGAGCTACCTTGCCCTTTCTGCCATGTGAAGACACAGCAAGAAGATGGCTGTGTATTAACCAGGAAGCTCTCTCCAGATACTGAATCTTGCAGCACCTGGATCTTGGACTTGCCAGCCTTTAGAACTGTGAGACATAAATGCTGGTTATTTAAGCTGCCATTATGGTATTCTTGTTATAGCAGTCGGAATGGACCAAGGCGACGTGGAACCATGAGGAAATCCAGGTCTCTCTGATTCTGCGCTGTCCAGACCCTGTCTACTCAGCTGGAGGGTGAGGGTGTTGAGGGCCAGGCCACTGCCTCTTCAGGACTGGGCTGCACACAGGGCTTGCTGATGGTCATGTGAAGGGGTTTCAAGTTTAACACATGGAAAGCAGATAGAGAGGTAGGGGAGGGAGGCTGTGTTCTGTGTGTGATATGCTGATTAGAGGATTACTCAATGTATGATTACATGTTGTGTAATGATTTAGACAGAGCACGCTACATATAACCAAATCGGCATTGGAAGGATATAATGCCCGCACATAGAAATTACACACCCACATGCACAGGTAACCAGACACAGATAACACACATACATTCCAGGCACATCTGAACATTACAGACATCTGGTGATTAGTCATGAACAAGGTGAGAAGGCAGAATCTTCCCTATAACATACCTTCTGGGATGCATTGTCCGAGAACAAATTTATACCCTTTGCAGCACTTTTTCCTAAGAGGCAAACAAACAAAAACACATTTTAAATGGGACATGTTAGATAAAAATATCATTCTTTCTGGTTACTGGTCTTGAATGAAATACCTTGTGCCAGGAAACACTGAGGCAACACAGGGTGAGTTATTTTAAAGGAAATCTGAGATAAAAAGGAAAAATATTGCCCATATCACATGACCACATCTTCTAATAGCAGAATGTCCTTCTCATCACATGTTCCTTTGAATCCCATGAAGTGAATTCACTCAGAGATTTCAGGATACTTAAATTAGATAATCCCAGGTCTGCAGGAATAGGTATGAAAAGAACCTTCGAGGCTGACCTGGCCTCTCATCCTACACACCAAGGATTCACAGGACTTGCCAGTTATAATAACAATCAGCTAAGTATAATCACCACTGGATAATTACAACATACTGATTCTAGTTATAGTAGAAGACGGGGACTGGAACCCAAGCATTCTAACTCCCACTGGAGTACCATGGAAGGTACTGAAAGGGACCTAAATTAGCTAAGGATGAAAAAAGCAAACAGGCAATTACTAACCCACATCCAAGTTCTACATCTCTGCCTGTGGTAGAGAAATGGTGACATCCATTCCAAATGGGAATCTTCACTGAGAAGATTCCGCCTCTGGTAGGAGTGGGGGCTCCTAATAGGCCTATCCCTCTGCAGATAGCAGGTGCACCCTCCGGACAAAACAGCGTCCATCAACTATGTGAGAGTTCCGGAGAGTCAATCCAACTGGCAGACTTAGGAGGAGAGTTGAAATTTTGAACAGGGGACCAACACAAGGTAATTATTTTTATTAGAAACTAGAGGCCCAATGCACGAATTTGTGCATCAGTGGGGTCCCTTGGCCTGGCCTGCAGGATCAGCCTGAAACCAGCTCTCTGACATCCCCCAAGGGGTCCCAAATTGTGAGAGGACACAGGCCAGGCCGAGGGACCCCACCGGTGCACAATCAGATCCAGGGAGGGATATAAGAGGTTGGCCAGCTGGGGAGGGAACGCAGGAGGGCTCCAAGGCATGTCTGGCCTGTCTCACTTTGTCCAGATCAGCTGGACCCCAGCAGCAAGCTAACCTACCAGTCGAAGTGTCTGTCCCTTGGTGGTCAGTGCACATCATAGCGAGCAGTTGAGCGGCCTTAGCATATCATTAGCATATTATGCTTTGTCTGGTTGAACGGACAACCAGACAACCGGACGCCTGGACACTTAGCATATTAGTCTTTTATTATATAGGACTATTATTGCTAATTTCAGTCATGCCACAGAGGCTCGGAGCAGGCGCTGTATGTGTGTGTGTCCATCCCCACTGGGGGCCTGACCCCAGCCGCGTCGGAAGCTCGGAGCAGGCACCCTGTGTGTGTGTGTGTGTGTGTCCATGGGAGGCCTGCCCCCAGCCACACCGCGGAGGCGTGGAGCAGGTGCCCCTCTGTTTTGATCTCTCAGGCTCCTGGCCGCGCCTGCATGTTGTTTTCTCCCTTGAGCGGCGGCCAGGGTGGGCTGGAAACTTGGCTTCTTCCATGGCTGGGGGCAACCCAAGCCTCCAGCTTCGTGGCCACCACCATCTTTGTTGAGTTAATTTGCATACTTGCCCTGATTGGCTGGTAGGTATAGTGGAGTGACACCAATTTGCATGTTTCTCTTTTATTAGTGTAGATAATCAAAGGTGGGAAGTAAAGCAAGTGCCCTTCAACCACGTTAGACAAGGCCTGCTGTTGAAGAATAATTTGATACACTTAGATGTCTTTTTTCCATCACATTGTAATAAAAAATAATTTAACAGCATTGTTTTCTACTTTTGCAATACTCTATACTATTGGTCAAATCCACTCTTGTGGGCTGGTCTGCTAGGTGGATTTCCATCTGCCAGGTGAAAGAGAAACTCCAGCAATCTCTTCCTAAGACTTCTAAAATTTAGAAAAATTATATTCAATCTGTCACTTACAAGTTTTACATAAAATTTATGAAAAATGTATACAGCTTGTAAACATTGCATCTGGCAGGAGAAGTTTCTGAGGCCCCATTGGGTGCTGCTACACCGCCTCCTTTCTCTCTGCAATACGTCTCATGTGCAGCCCAGCTGCGAGAGATAATCTTACTTCAAAGACGTAACACTGGGCTTTCATTATAAAACACAGTGGCATCTGGGATGCTCTCAAAACTGACTTGAGTGAACTAGCTAAGGGCCCCCTGTGCTGCAAATGACACGTTTGCCAACCTCTACATGTCCACTCAATATAAGCTATTTTGAATCTTTCTTCAGCATATTTATGTCAAAAGGGAGTGTATATATATTTTTTGTATATATTTTAATGTATATGCACATATTTCTTCATATATAAATAAAATGTACTAATATAAATGGCGTGTGACAGCGTCCAGAGTTTTCCCATTAGATATAATTTCCCACCATCTCTGACTGAATTATAATTTTACATGACAAAGAATCCCATGGGGTATAAATTTATGATAATTAGTATTTCTAACAGAGGTAGAGGATCTACTTTTATATTCCATGAAACTTAAACTCTGCCTAGTTTTCCATGGTTTAAGAAAGACCAAGTTCCTAACAACCAAGAAGAAAATTGGCTTAATTGAGCATTCATTACAATTTTACGGTTATTAGTTACTGTGTTACATGAGGCTGTCCAACAGAAATCTGTAAGAGGAAAAGCGGTGCACTCCATGGTCTGAAACTAAGTGATTCATGAGAGAGTTGAATGGAGGGGGAAACATGTGTTTTTGATACTCATGTCTCGAGGATAGCACCACATTTAAACATATGGTTCTGTGTGGCTCTTTCTACTTAAATGGTGCATCCAAGTTACAGCCTCAGAGGTGTTTGATGGCATTTTAAAATTCATGCAAACGAATGCAATCCTCACAGTCTCCCTTTCCACATCTGAGACATTAAACTTGGGCACTCTGATCTTATTGAGCATTTCAAGGGCTTGGGATTGTCCACACAGTGGAATCCAAAATAACCTGTCCTTGGCCTTGTTACAAAATTAAGTGAGAAAGCAGTGATTTGATACGTTTTCAAAAGGCTACAGAGCCCTGGCAGGAGCAGATCTGAGCTTCAGGATGGGCACGCTTCATTTAAATACTTGCTCAGCTACGATTTACCTTCCCCTCCGCTGCTTTTTCTTACTTGCATAATTAATGCCATGTCCCTGCTCAAGAAAAGGAGGTTGGAGACGCCTCCACAACCTCCTGTCTCCCCCAGAATTCCTGGGGGTGTAGCATTATTTTGCATGTTAAACACACATCCATCATAAATCACCATTTAAAATAAACAATTGAAATATTCCAAAAACAAACACTGGCTACACATGTTCTACTGGTTCAAAGATTACTTAGAACATAATTTGCGCATAATGAAGTTGAGACAGCCCACGTGAAATCTCCTGGTTACGCAAGCACTTGTTAGTCCTAACTGCAAACACGGCTGTGTGGTTTTTATCTTTAAGCAAAACAAACTCAGACGGGGGAAAGCTCATGTGGATTCAGGGGAGGCCGTCCTTCTTAATATGCTTCACGTGGCGCAGCTTGGTTTTCCAAATGCAAATGCTTTTCTCGTTTCTTGGCAAGAGGCCGTGGTGATTAGACAGTTGTTACACAGAAAGGGCGACATCTGGTAATCAGGAAAGTCTGTGGAGGTCTCCCCTGGGTGCCTCCGAGTAAGTAACACACATGAAAAAAATCATAAATAAAAACAGTGCAGCCTGAAATATATCCCATCAACCGATATGTGTGAGAGCTTTTGGAAGGGAAAACTAAATCAAGGCAATGAAGATAATAGAGGTACGGTCATCCGACTGTCGGCTGTTAGTTATCAGAGTCTAGAAAAGAATTTGAAAAAATAACTGCCTAAGAATTAGAGGACTACAAGGGACTTCGAAAGGTCAAGTGAATTAGTAGGCAAGAAATATGTCAACACATGCTCCAAGGCAACAGTAAATTTTCCTATGATTTACTTAGGGTTTCCTTTCCAGAACTGCCTAGACATGCACCAGATAGATCAGATTTTTTTTTTTTAAATGAGAGAACCGCACTTTTGTGAGTTCCTGGTGCCAAGCTATGTGCAATGGGTGAAGCAGTGGCTTTAGGGTCAAGCAAATCAGGTTTGCAGTTCTGGCTCTGCCACTGGGAGAGCTCAGGATGTGGCCTTGGGCTCATTTCTGAAACTCGCTGAGCTTTAGATTCCTCATGGATAAATCATGAATAAAAACATTTGCTTTACAGGATTATCACACTGATTACGGATAACAAAGGTACCTAGCACAGGGCCTGGGTCAGGGTCAGAACAGTCTGCTAGCTGCAGCTTTCTTTTCTTTTTTGTTTTTTATTCTCACCTGAGGATATGTTTTTATTCATTTGAGAGGGAGAGGAAGGGAGAGAGAAAAAGAGAAACATCAATCAGTTGCCTCCCCTACATGCCCCAACCCTGATCCGGGATCAACCCCACAACCTATGTATGAGCCCTGACAGGGAATTGAACCTGAAACCTTTTGGTGTAAGGGACGATGCTCCAACCAACTGAGCCACCCAACCAGGGCTTTTTTCCTTTTTTTAAAAAGAGCTATATAATTTACTTATTCTTTTCTCTCTTTTTTTAAATTGAACTTATAGGGGAACAGGTTTCAAGTATATAACTCAATAAATGATCACCTGCACACTGCAATGGGCATCCATTGCCCCTAGCAATAATGAGTGAATAAAAAAAGCTGTGGTACTTTCACAACGGAATACTAGCTGCAGCTTTATGAACATGGCAAGAAAACAACAAAAGTCATGCCACCCAGATGCCTTCATCTTAAGACTCATCTCTTTCTTCCACTTCTTATTCAGTGGTAGATGCCCCGTCTTCTCCCAAAAAGGGAGGGGGGTGGAACTTCTGGTTTTAAGATGATGGAAAAGTCATATTGTTGTCTTCTTCTTCCACAGGTTAATCCCAAATAACGAAATGAACACAAAATGAAAATGCAA